TAGGCAAGTGCTATTTCACTGAATTACATACCATTTTAAAAATTTATTTTATATATACAAGATATTCCTAGGAGTTTTAGAAAATTTCAGAGGCGAAGCAAATAGTGTACTGGGTGTGTTTCTAGTCTAGGGACAATATATATGTATATATTTGCACGATTTAGGTATGGGTAGAATTATGTGAGTTCTAAGGAAGAAGAAATTTCTTCCAGATGAGTGAATTAGGGAAGAGATCTTTGTGGAAAAGGGAAAATTTGAGTGTAGAATTGTCATTTGCAAATAATTTAGATAGGTCGTCCTCTGAATGGACAGCCTACATTTGAATATCTTAAAATACTTGGTCCATACATCACAGCCTCCAATTCATTCATAAAGTTCTACCTTCATGTTCATTATACTTTGCTGCTATTAATATATCTAGATCCTTACTATAGCAACTTTGGAGCTGAAAGACCAAAGCCAAGCCCAAGTTTTACTATTTAATAGCCAAAAAATTGCCAAGTTACTTATTCATTCTAACCTCCTGTATCTGCGTTTTAGAGTTGATATTACCAATAATTTCCATTTCACAGGACAGTTGAGAGTATTCATTTAGGCAACATATGAAAAGATATAACATTTTGTCTGGCTTAATAAAAATGCTATAAATGTGAGCGCACATATATTATAATTTTTATTAGTAGTATTTACCAAGTACATCTTGGTCTTATTTTCTTCCTTACTCTCTATATGATTAACCATTGAAACTTCTTTCACCAGAACCATCACATCTTATCTTCTGGTCCTTCTGACCCACATACTCCACAAATATCCAGTCTTGGATACATCCAACAGCTTATTCTTTTCTATTCCTACCCATGGTCTCCTGAATACTATGGGAAAAAGTCATGGGAATGTGGATTTGGTGCCCTAAACAAGTCACAGCAATCCATTACTGATGCCATCAATTCTGTGACTTGTCTTTCATCAATTTGTAACCACTAAAAGTCTTTCCTATTCTTTTCAAGCACCATCAAATTCCTATGGTCCACAGTCTTAGCACTGATATAAATTTAAAGAAGAGCTCATTGGCAACTTTCTGCCCTTCCTTTTCTAACAAGCTCTCCTGTAACCATTCCATCTCTTCTGTTCCTTTTAGAACTTTAAAGAAGGCACATGTGTTAAACCCCAATCCTCTTAGATTTACATTATCTTTCCTGACTTATACTCTGTTCCTACTTCTCAATCCTTCTGTCTATTAAATTTGGGCATTTATAAAAATATTTTTCTTTTCTGCTTTCTCTTTGCTTTTTATACGTTTTCCTGCTGAAGCTGTGAGAATGGTTAAGATTCTAAACAAGTTCAGTTATCAGGGCCCACAAATCCCTATATCTTGTCTTCATGTAAATAGAACCACCAACCTAATTTGACCTCCTTAAATCCTATTCCCTCTTCAATCAATGGCCTTTAAGAGTGAAAATTACTTTTATTATGTCTATAATGTCTTTCTTAGCATTAGAATCAAGGAGTTCATCTCCTGTCTCAAAAGTCACACTTAATTTTGATTCTCTTCCTACCTCACTATAATCATTGGTTTAGTCTTCTCTGGTCCTTCTTCCTTTGTCTGCCTTTAAATGTGGGTGTTGCTTAGATTCTGTCCTTGATCTCTTCCTCCTTGTCTTATTCTTATCTTCCCTGGAAAGTTCCATCTACATTTATGTTCTTGTATTTAGCCTATATGCTAAGATTAACCATATTTATTTGTTTAGCCTATATGCTAAGATTAACCATATTTATTTATTTAGCCTATTCCTTAATTCTTGGCCAGGCCTTCTTCTAATGCTGACTTGACTCTTTTGCTTTGTATTCCAACAATGGCTAGTACTCATTTGGTCAGTCAACAAGTGTTCATTGAGTGTCTGCTATGTACCAAGCACAGTGGTATACATTGGAGCCATGATGGTAAGTCAAGGAGACAGTATCGAGAGAATGCAGATATACAAATAGGCAATATAATGCAGTGTGATGCATGGTGTAATGGAAGTAATTTCACAGGAGGAACATAATTAACTTGTCTTGGGAGTGAGAATCAGGGTCTTTAATTCCATTCAAGCCCCTAGCCCCTAAATGTTTGATAAGCACTTATTAAATTAAGTGACATCAAAGTTGACATTTACGGATGAGGTAGTATTATTAGGTGAAAGGATTCAGAGATGCAAGCATTATTTTCTAAGATGAGAAGTATACTAAGATTTCAAGGACTAGACAGGGCCTGGGGTTTCCTTCCGGCAGCTATTTTAGAATGGTTAAAGTAGGATTCATACTAGGAGATTATAAATATTAATTCTCTTCCTTTTTCATAAAACAATTTTACAAATATTGACCCTTTAATTCTCAAACATTTAAATTCACACAATAGGTACAATTACCCCAATGGGGGGGCTGGTGCCAGGGATTGAACTCAGGGACACTCAACCATTGAGCCACATCTCCAGCCCTATTTTGTATTTTATTTAGAGACAGGGTCTCACTGAGTTGCTTAGTGCCTTACTTTTGTTGAGACTGGCTTTGAATTTGTGATCCTCCTGCCTCAGCCTCCCCAGCTGCTGGGATGGTGTGCACCGCCACAACTGGCATTAATTACTCCAATTTTACAGATTAGGAAACTGAGGGTCAGATTGAATGATTTACAGATTTACCCACAGCCAAGGTCAGCTTCCACAGTCAGGACCCATCTTGGACTTGGTTAAATACCCTTCTGTTACTTTCTTGAAACTCCAAAACATTTTATCTTTGAACTTGTGTTCCGCAAGTGAAGCCCAAAGGGACAATGGAGAGGATGTGCATGCAGACAGGATACACACAATATCCCTGTCTGCAGTTCTTTTCTCCCCATGAGCTTATATCTCTAGTGTGGGATGTGTGGGAATTCTGTAAGACTCCGTGAGTACAAGGAAAGTGCATTATATCTACAACTGAGTAGCTTTCTGCTCAAGGGAGTATTTGCTTTGAATGCAAAAAGAAGGCAGAGGGGCTGGGGTTGTGACTCAGTGGTAGAGCACTCATCTGGCATGTGTGAGGCACTGGGTTCAATCCTCAGCACCAAATAAATAAATAAATAAAATAAAGGTAGCGTGTCCACCTACGCTAAAAATAAGTATTTAAAAAAAAAAGCGGTAGAGAGCTCACCTAGCACATATGAGGCCCTGGGTTCGATCCTCAGTACCACATAAAAAAATAAATAGATAAATAAAAGTATTGTATTGTGTCCAACTACAACTAAAAAAACAAAGAAGGTTGAAACACAACTAAGGAATGCTATGGTATCTGATCATGTTTCCCTGTATACTTTTCATCCATTTATACTTAAAATTATGGCAAAGAAGGAAAGGAAGAGGGCAACCCACAGTTGCTTTTCTTTTAAGTACTTGCTTCTCAGTGAATTGAAAGAGAGTGTGCCAGTAGAATGTGAGTTTATCAAGAAATGAAATAGAACAGTTGAGTTAGCAGAGTGCTTTCACTGCTCCTGTGGGAATGAAATATATGAGCAGGTAGAAGCTAAGTGCTCTTATATTTGCATTTCAAGTATAAAATTTAAATTTAACTTTAATTTCTTTCTTTATTTATAACAATATTAAGTAGCAAATTAAAACACTTAACAAGCTGAGAGACAGAAATTGCCAAAGGGGAAAAATGCTTTATATTTTAGTGCCTCTTATGGCATCTCCTTCCTTCAATTTTCACAGGGACTCTGCGTTTCCTTTACACTGAAATTATGCAGCTAATAAATAGCCAAGCCCTGTGTGACTCCAGGTTTTCAGTTTCCAAGTGACATCAGTGGGTCCACTCCTCAGTCACTGTTTTCAGTACCACAGCCTTTTCCTGTCTTTGAAATCACATTACCCATAGTAGATGTTCAATTATACCACATTTCTTTTTCACAGCCAACACACTCATTGCCCCAGATACCACATTGACTGATAAAGATCCACAGGTGAATTTTGGACCCAGAAATGTTTTGGGCCAAAGGGAACTTCTTGCTTCAAATTGGGGCAACTCTGAAGAGCCCTCCCACCTACTATTGAATAGCAGGATCGACTTCTCTCTTGGACCAATTCTGCTTCTTTCACTCTCTTGTAGGTGTTACTTGCAATAGTACCACCAAGAAACATCCAGAACATAAATCTGTCTCAGAGTCTTTTCTGTGAATTCAGACCTAGGGCATCAATCATCAATCCATTGCACTGAAGTTTAACATATATTTCCCATTTTACAAGTTACAGTGTCTAGATTGACTAAATGTTTAGTTGTCTGCCATACTTTTACTGTACTTGTAGCTGCAATTATCTTTACTTCCATGCATACCCAATGAGATCATTTTATTTTAGTCATTTATACTAAACATGGAGGCTATTTCTGTATGCTTGCAGGCCAAGCAAGCTAGAGAAACCACAATTCCTGAGCAAACCACAAACCCCCTTTAGACCTACTTTAGAGTACAATTCTTGCTCTTGTAAGCATTTTCCTCACTGAAGGAAAGAAGTATCAAAGCCAATACTTTAAAGTGCATCAGCCATCTTCCTGAGTCATTTTAAAGAAACATTAAAATTTTTCACCTTAAAATGTTTTTGAGTAGATTTATTCTGAAGTTTTCAACTTGAATTTTCTAAACTATCATTTAAATACTATTCTTTCATGCAGACTTATTATGGATCAGGTAAGGCATAAAAATGAGTCTTACTCATATTTCTTTAAAGGAAAAAACACCACCTTTACATATATCTAAATGTCCCAGGCACAAGTTGCTACTGCCCAAGAACACGTCTGCTATATACAATGGCATTTCTCATGAGTAAGTGTACATTCTGTAACTCATTTAGGAAATATTTGGCTGACTCAACCCTAACTTTTGGCTACCAGAATTAAGAAGATAAAAATATAATAGCTTCTGAGTCATAAGGTGTGGATAAGTATATTTTATAAAGAAGAGAATATCATTCACATGGAGGCCATTTAATTATTTTTAAGCCTTGTGGATTTCCCAAAAAGTTCACATCAATTTCTGGATATTGGTAATTAGCAAAGGTCAAGAATACTACAAATGTGAGTGAGCCTACATCTTGGATTTTGATTTGCCAATGGGCAATACCATTTCTTTTACCCCTCTCTTCTTGCTCACCTTTTTCACACACCAGCTAAGCTCGATTCTTCAGTGGTATCTCTCAAAATAAAGCTGAATTCTGGACATAAAAACAAACAAGCAAACAAAAATTTTAAAAATCCCATCTCATATCCAAGGGCAGTTCTGAATGTCCAGGCGAAACCAGAACAACTGAGCTTACAACACTCCAATCCAGTCACATGTCTTTTTGCTTGCATAAGTGGCACACATTGGAAAGTACAGATGCTGAGTTGAGACAGTCATTCTTGTCACATGTTAATACAGGGGTCTTGCAGCCATTCACAGAACAATATGAACTCTCTGCCAGGACCAGACTCTTTAAGGCCCAGAGTGATTGCTTCAGGACTTTGGCTATGAAGAAACCAAATCACATCCAAACATATTCCATGTGCTTTAGCCACCAGATAGCCCTCCATTTATCATTTTATGTCCGACGGGAGAAGGTCAAGTGTGAGATAATAGGGAAGAGAAGGAACTAGAATTCCTTGGGACCTGCTGGTCAGCTTTGCCATAACAGTGTGGTAATTTAGCCATTCAGACTGGGCCAGATGGATTCTACCAAATTTTTCCATTTACTTAGAGAATGTTAGAAATCAAATGATCATATAAAATAAACTACTTTGAAATAATAACTTATTGATGAGTTAAGACCACTGTTTGGACTGGCAAAACACACCTCCCATATCTTCACAATGGCTACAATTGGCCCTCCTTGCCTCTCTGACCTTCTTCCTACAGCTCTGTGCTCCCTTGCTTGCTCTGTCACTGCCAGCCTGGCTGTTCCTCAAATGTGCAATGTACCCTCCAGTCCTAAGTCCTTTACAGAAGCACTCTCCTCTCCTGGAAGACCC